AAAATTTAATTTATTAGTTGATATTTTTAACTTTGTTAAATATTACTTAACATTTAACACATTACTTAACATAATTATATTATTCACTCTTTATTTAAATGATTTAAATATCTAATTTAGCTAAACAATAATGAAATTCACTTTCAGCAACAAGAACCATGTTGCTGAAAATGAAGAATACTTTTTGGGGAGAAAGTGTAGTATGAAATTGGTGCAAAATCCGATCATGAACAATAACTAAAAAATTTCAGCAACAAGAATCATGTTGCTAAAAGTAAACACCACTTTTTGCTAATTAATTTATGAAATTGGTGCAAAATCCGGTCATGAACAGTAACTAAAAAATTTTAGCAACAAGAATCATGTTACTAGAAGTAAATATCACTTTTTGCTAATTAATTTATGAAATTTGTGCAAAATCTGGTCATGAACAGTAACCAAAAAATTTCAACAACAATAACCATGTTGCTAAAAGTAAAGAACACTTTTTGCTAAAAGTAAAGAACACTTTTTGCTAAAAGTAAAGAACACTTTTTGCTAATTATTTTATGAAATTGGTGCAAAATCCGGTCATGAATAGTAACAAAAAAATTTCAGCAACATGGTTTTTGTTACTGAAAACTATTTTCAGCAACAAGAACCATGTTGCTAAAAGTAAATAACACTTTTTGCCGATCAATTAATGAAATTGGTGCAAAATCCAGTCATGAACAGTAACATAAAATTTTCAGCAATATGGTCATTGTTGCTAAAATTTATTTTTAGTAACAAGAATCATGTTGTTAAAAGTAAAGAATACTTTTTGTTAAAATGTGTATTATTTAAGTATTAGCAACATGGGTTTTGTCGGTGAAAATTCATATCACCGACAAACAATTTCATGTTGCTGATACTTAGTTGCTGAAAACAAAAATTTTAGTAGTGTTTTCTCGTTGGCAGACTGGTTCCACAACCTGGGTGGATGCTTGGAGAAAGCCTACGGTAATGGAAAGAAGACAAAGGGAACCACTAAATCTGGGAAAAAGCTATAATAGCTGTAAAAAGCCTTCGAGACAAGGTGAAGGAGGCGACATACTGATGGTTTTAGTGTGGAAGTAGGTTAACATCTTGTAATGGGTTTTGAGTACCCTTGGTACTCTAAAAATAAATAAAATTATCTTTGTTTTTCAAAAAAAAAAATATGATTAGTATACATTTCGATTCAACATACTTAATAACACTCATTGGTTTAATTATTAAAAAATTAATATTTTCAATTTTGAATTTAAAGCGAAAAAATTTTTAAAAACAAATTTTAATAATTGAACTAGTAACTATTATTAAGTGTATTGAACCGGAAGATGCATTAATCATTTTTTATATAAAGAAATGAAAGTTTTTGGGGAATGCTGGGTTTCACGTTGATTTGGTATAAAAAACTAAATGATTCACATTTAACACATTCGTTTATGTACCTAATCACCAATGAATTAGTATTAGTTTGGCAACTACTTCTCCATAAAATATAGTTCCAGTATTTTAGAGATGTAGTGGTTAATTAAGCTGAAATCAGAAATTAATTAATTTTTATTGACACTGAATAATAAAGGACCAACTCCAGAAACAGTGGGATCACAAAGATTTCGGTGCAGCTATTAATTCAAAATATGACCAAGGAAAACCCACTTCCTAATTCAACCTGAAGACTTGCATCATCATCTTCAATGAAAATGACCATCTGGAAATCAGTCTCCACACATCAAATTTGTCTACTCTATCAAAAGTGAGTCGTCTAGAATCTGTCTACAATTTCCTTGCTTCTCATGGCTATTAACATTCCAAAGGGAAAAAGGGCTGTATATGCCCTAACCTGTAAGTCAGGGCTGTATAACGTCTATAACCTGATACAGTGAAAGTTTGTCTTTACACGATGACTATAAAAGGGGATGTTATGATATTGCTACATGCAGGCATGCTAATAAATGCACTAGAAAAATGCATAGTGCAAACTCCCTTGCAAGAACAAGTCTTCACTCAATTGTCTACTACCTCAATACGCTATCTCTGTTGCAATGCACAAGTGTGTATAACTTCATTAATACAGCTAGTACAAGCCGCCATTTCACTAAATGGTTTCACACAAAAGCTGGTTCCTTGTTTTGCGTATGTATATATATACTTATGCCTTTTCAGGGATTTAATGCAATTTGAAGAAATGAATCAACTTTTTTCATTCTTCTTTAAAACTAACGGGGCCGGGGAAAAAAAATCAGCTTGGAGGATAGACAGTAAAAATTGTAATTAATGATAGTCTATGAGGATTTCGGGAGGCTGAAGAAACCAATAAAGTAATGATATGGCTGTAGGTGGTTTGAAAATCAGAGAGGTTAAATTCTGAAAATCATTAAGGAGCTTCCTGATTGTTCAGGGTGAAGCGAGTGAAATTAAAGTAGAATAATGCAAGGTGGCAATTCATAGAGATGAGAGAATTTCACATTTAATTTAGTCAGTTGATTGTAGTAACTGTCATGGTTGGGCATAATATATATATGTTACAAGGTTTATTTGAATTACATCCTAGCTACCATAGATTGAGTGGAGGAAAAAGGAAGGAGAAATTGCAAGTTCTTTCTCATAGAATACTTATAAGTACATGAAACGTGAACCCAAGTATGTACAGAACTTCCCTCAATCCTACGTTTGACAGTGAAGCCGCAAATTAACCCCCTTTGCAACATTGTAGGTATATAATACATAAATACAGGATGCAACCCTGCTCTAGCATTTCATCCTGCGTCTTCAAAGCATACAACATAACATCATTGCTTTAGTATACCCATCTATAAGAATAGTATATAAATCACATTATCTGGAACCAATTAAGCCAATGTTCTTCATATTTTCTAAAGTGAAATGATACCCTATCAAAATGTTCATTCCTAGAAAGCACACCCTATTAGTGAGCTATAGCTAACAAAATCAGAAACAATGCCCCAACTTCCCATTTCATTGAAAATATGTTCAGCTCCTGATATATTATATTGTTTCTACAACTCCTAACAAGCAATGGGTTACGTGTAGTATAAGGATTTAAGTCGATCTGCAACATCTGACCCAAAAACTTCCTTTGCTCTTTTATACTTTGCCCTTCTTACTCAAACCATTAAAAGACCTGGTTTTAACTCCTTACTGGACATTGAATCCACCAACTGAAAAGCTTCCTAAAAAAGACCTTCAAGACAATATGCATTTGATTAAGGTGTTATATGTAACATTATTAGGATAAACACCCTTTCATTCCACTCCTGATAAAAAGAAGTTGACTTTATTAATCTTGTGACCCTTGCACAGAGGAAACCAAACCATAATATTTAAGGTATAAGCATTCAACGCAAGCTCACTTCCAGCAACTTTCCCTATATACCATCCCATGCCCAACCAACGCGCCAAGAAGGCTATTGCATGCATTGATGGAGACAGACAAACCTATGCTCCTCAGAGCCTTCTTCTAACCTCCTAACTTGTACATAACTTCTAATTAACAATTCAAATACCAAACTTTCACATTCACCACAAGTTGAAACCCCAAGGACTCCACAATCTGAACCCGTGAAACGCCACTCTTTCTAACCATCCTATGAACTAAAGCCCGTGCATCGGATAATCTCCTAACTCTTCACCAGAATGTGAATCATTGCACTCAAAGGCACCAAAGAATGCTTCATATCATTGTAATTCAAAGAAACAAAATAAAAAAATCTCTGCCCCAGTTGCGAATTATCTCAAAACAATAAATAATCTCAGCTATCATTGATGGGTTCAAACTAAATTGGTAACTGCAAGAAGAACTCTATTTACTTTTGCTGCAAGATTGTACAGACTCTTCTCCACCAAGAACAAGTCTCGAACTGCACTTGAATTCCTCGAATTTTCTCGGGTTTTCACAGTTCTGCACCATAACCAGAATCAAAGTTGGGGCTTGGAAAGGAGGAGAGGCTACGGAAGAGATTAAGCAATGGAGCAGAGTAACTGTTTGAAATGTAAATTCGCCACCCAAACTTTTGAAAACTTACAAATCGAACCCAATAAAAATATATTCTTTTCAGGTGGGTCCACAGAGGAGCTACAGAAGAGATTGGACAAATACAATTTTTATTGCTGACGTGGTGAGAAGTGATTGGACATGCAGCATCGTGATACGTGGAAACTTGAGACAGAACCGAACTGGGAAACTACTTCATGACATGGACTCAGGCCTCCGGAGACAGCAATTTTCTAACATACAACAGAACAACCCAATACCATTCCACCACGTGTCCAACTGCAGCCCTTTTCTACTGACTGTGATGAAACGTTGAGTCACAGCGCACCCCGGTAACGTCAGAGAAAATTAACTTTGGCAAAAAAGAAATAGGCAAAAACCCTTCTAAAGCTCCCAAACTGATCCAATAATAGCATTTAAGGTCCTAAACTAAAAATAAAGCAAATAAGCCCTTCAACTCCATTAACGATGCAAATAAAGCTTTCTCACAAAAGGGCCAAATGGTATTTCATGTTTAATATTACTTTGAAAGCATGAATACTCATGAATGAGAAGGGCTTATTTGCATTGTTAATGGAGTTAAAGGGCTTATCTGCTTCCTTTTTAGTTTAGGGGCTTAAATGCTATTTTAGGATAAGTTAGGGAGCTTAAGAAGGGTTTTTGCCAAAGAAATATACGGGAAAAAGCTCATTGACCTCTCTGCAGTTGGTAAAACGGAAAAAAGGAACACTGAAACAAATTTTCTCTCTTTTTCTTCTCCGCCATCTCCGATCTGCGTCAGAGAGACGGGAGAAATTCCTCCGTTTCTCTCAGGTAGCAAATACATACACAATTTTGTGGATAATTCCAGTATATCTGTTGATTAATGTTGCGATCTGCTCTCATTTAGGGTTTTGGATTGCAGAGGAGGCGATCTCAGGAGAGGATTTTAAGGTTAGGTTACCTGAAATTTTTTTATCACGGAGAAGAAAGAAATAAATAGGAAGACGATGAAGAACACTGAAAGAATCGCGAATTTAGCTTTAGCAGGTCTGCGGTTGTCTGTAATTTAGTTTGATGTTGATTTTTTTTTTTTTTTTTCATTTTTTGGATTGAATTGTGTATGTTTTGCAATTGCAGGGTTGACATTGGCACCACTTGTTATCAAGGTAGATCCAAACTTAAATGTTATTTTGACGGCATGCCTTACAGTTTATGTGGGATGCTACCGATCTGTAAAGCCAACTCCACCAACCGTGAGTATAGCTGCCAGTGATTTTGAATTGTGTATGTTTTGCGTTTTTGATTTTTCCATCTGAGACTTCGGAATATATTTAGCTGACATTGGCTACGTTTGTTGTTGTTGTTGTTGTTGTTGTTGTTGCAGGAGACTATGTCTAATGAGCATGCTATGCGTTTTCCCTTTATTGGGAGTGCAATGCTGCTGTCACTTTTCTTGCTGTTCAAGTTCCTATCGAAGGACTTGGTTAATGCTGTATTAACCTCCTATTTCATTGTGCTTGGGATCATTGCTCTTTCGTATGTTGAGTTGCATATACTATTTATTTATATTTTATACTGTTTTCTTTTGTTTTGTGTATTTAACTAATTTGTTTGTTGTTTCATCTTTCATAGGGCAACCTTATTACCTGCAATAAAGCGTTACTTGCCAAAGCATTGGAATGATGATGTTATTGTTTGGCGATTCCCTTACATTCGCTGTATGTATATGTAGTTATTCTTTGCACTTATTTTATTGGGCTTACGGTTTATTTCCAGTGACTTAGACATCAACTGCACTACATAGGATGCTTTTTTCTGTATTTTACACTCTCTAGCTGTTAAATGGGTATATCTGTTTAGTTGCTGTTTCTTTACCCGTCATTCCTCTATGCATGGCTTAGCCTGCTGTATTTTTGTTACATAATTTATTTTGAGGAGGAAAGCGTTTAGTGATACAAGAAGGAAGCAGTCTTGATTGTTGGGATATCATTTTTTGGAGTTTATGTTACCTTGTCTGTTCCCTAGTAGTGCAATTTATGTGCTTTTTGAACCGTTTAAACTGTAAGTTGCAGCTTAAAAATTGGGCTTATCTGGTTGTTGAAGCGTTATGTCGATTTACTTGTGCGTAGAGTTCTTTGTTGATCCTTCTGGCATTTATCTTGCTTGCATTCTGCAGAGTGATATTTTTCCTTATACCTTTCTTAAACAGCTTGGGAGATTGAGTTCACAAGGTCTCAGATCGTCGCAGGAATCCCGGGAACATTTTTCTGTGTTTGGTATGCTACAAAGAAGCACTGGCTGGCTAATAATATTCTTGGCCTTGCTTTCTGCATTCAGGTTTGGTGGAAATATCTGTCCCATTTCTGGTTACCATCCTAGTTTGTCAATTAATAGTGATCACCAATTTTCTGTACATTTCATTTTCAGCTGAAATGAGAAATAAGAATTTTTATAAGCTTTCTGGGTCTGAGATATTATCTAATAGACTGCACATTCTTTTATTGAAGGAGTCTATGGTTCTTATTTGCAGGGAATTGAAATGCTTTCTCTTGGCTCTTTTAAAACGGGTGCCATTCTCTTGGTAAGAAGTTGCAGTAGGTAGTGGATGCAATTGTTATTTATACATGAGAATGTTGTTCCTTACATAGTGTCTTGTTTTTCCTTAATCCCAGTTTCCTTGCTCTTTTATCCATTTAAGCTGTTGACTGAGATTTGAAATGACCAATTTTGCTCTCTATGTTAACATTGAGACAACTCTCTTTCTCCTGAAATGACCCTCTTAGATTTTACTGAGATTTCTTCTTAACCGTTTTTTGTCAGAAATATCATTCCATGATACTGCAATATGATCAAAATTCTTTTGCTGCTTAGCCAAGTAATAAAAATCTTACCTGACATGTTGAGATGGCTTTTTCCCCCTGATCTTTCATTTATTCATTATGTAATTTTTGCTATTTTACTGCAATGCAGGCTGGGCTTTTTGTGTATGATATTTTCTGGGTGTTTTTCACCCCCGTGATGGTTAGTGTTGCTAAGTCTTTTGATGCTCCTATTAAGGTTAGTCTTTCAGCATAGTTAAATATTCTTCTCACCTCATTATCTTTTTAAGTCTGCTAAGGTTCTTTAATCTTTATGTCATGAATATAATTGCAATGATGTTTCCATTGTTTTGCAGCTCTTGTTCCCAACTGCTGACTCTGCCCGGCCGTTTTCCATGCTTGGACTTGGTGACATTGTAATTCCTGGTATATATTTAGTTGCAAGGTGTAGTGCATGATGTTTCTACAGTGATTTAGTGTTGATAACATTTGTAGTTGGAGCCTTCTTTAACTGCTTTGCTTGAATTTTTTGACACTTCAAAATAGTTTGTTTGGTTGTGATTAAGGTGGCAATATATATTTCTAGCTCCTTTGACCTTATGAAGTTTGTTTGGTGTTGAAATTTATGTAGTTGTAGATGTTGTCTTGGTCAGAGACGTTAAGATACCCTGGTTATTACTTCTCTCGGTTGGACATATAATGATTTGTACTTTTTTTAGGTTATATTTATGGATTTTGTTTAGCTGTGACACTTGAAAAATGAAAATTTGGCATAAGCCAGATTTTCATGCACTTGCTCTGCAAAATAATAATAATGATAATAAATAATAAAAAAATTGTATTACAACTTTTGGTACTTACATTAATTTTTTCCCCCTTCAGGTATTTTTGTAGCATTGGCATTGCGATTTGATGTATCTAGGGGAAAAAAAAGCCATTACTTTAAGAGTGCATTTTTGGGGTACACCGTTGGTTTGGTTCTTACAATAATTGTCATGAACTGGTTTCAAGCTGCCCAGGTACTGCGTTCGCTTTCCCATCATTGTACATGCAGGGCTGGTATCTTCACTTTGTTCAATTTTCTAATCCTAATTGTTATGTTCCTTTGCTTTCAGCCTGCACTGTTATACATTGTGCCAGCTGTTATTGGATTTTTGGCTGCCCACTGTATATGGAATGGGGAAGTAAAACCAGTATGTTCACTACCCTTGTTTGATTATGAGTTTTCTTTCTTGCTTTCTGCTTGTAGCATTGAGTTTCAGTTATACTTAGTTTTTATGGTCGTCCTTCCTGCTAGATATGTATATTCATCTATATAATGTGCCTTGATAGTCTATTGTCTACTTCTATAAATGTGGCTTGATGTGGTGATCTCTGCTGACTTTATCCTCAGTTATTGGAGTTTGATGAGTCCAAGAGCGCTACAAAATCTCAAGAAGATAGTGATGACAAACCTAGCACGAAGGTTGAATGAGTTGAAAAATGCCCAGACACCAAAACTATTTAATATTGAGAAACACATACTCTTTTCCAAGGATGGTAAAACCCTCTTAAGCTTATTTTCGGATTACTTATGCTGCTTCACACAATTGTAACAGATTTTGGAATCAAGCGAAAAAAATAATATTTAGCATTTTTAACTTTGTTAGATAATTCCATTTCCTTCTTATTTTCCCATACTTTGTTCCTCGTTCATGCACTTAGAGCCATTATAGGCATAGTGATCTGACTCACAAGAAGGGTTGGTCGGAACCTTACCGTAATTTTTTGTTGGTTAAATGCTAATTTTGGTCCCTCAACTTAAGGTTTTATGCAATTTTCATCTTTAAATTTTTTTTGCACTTTTTTAGTCCCTTAACTATGAAAAATGTATTTTTTTAGTCTTTTCATCAGGCAATCCATTGAGTCCATTTGAATCTGTACATTTTTAGTCCCTCAATTTTTAATATATGCATATTTTTGGTTCCTTAATTTAAAATTGAGGGATTAAAAATGTGCAAATTTAGATAAACTGAACGGATTAATTGACGGAAAACTAATTAAGTGCATTTTTAATAGTTAAGGGATCAAAAAAGTATAAAAAAAAAATTGAGAGATGAAAATTGTGCAAAACCTTAAAGTTGAGGGATCAAAGTTAGCATTTAACTTTTTTTTCTTTTTGTTTCATGGATCCTGCCTTGCTAGTATGCTGACCCATGTGCATCCATTAGTTACCATATTTACATGTATTTGCAAATTGTTAGGAATTTGACAACCAAACGATTGCTGCAATCATTTAGAACTTATGGAAATGATTTCAAATTCATATTAAAATACCCAAAGAAGGAATTTTTTTCTTTTTTTTTTTTATAAATTTTGGCCATTAAAGATTCGATACTTATATATAAACCAACACATAGTGTTGAATGACTGTACTGGATGGTAATTGGATTGTCTTATACTAATTATTAAATGGCAGTGAGTCTCTTAATATAGAGGGCTTTCTTTTTTGTCTAATAATTCTTGTTTTACAATAACTCATAGTTAATTACAATCCATGATAAAGCTGATCCAACCGATGAAGAATTAGGTACCAAGAATTTGAAATGCTTGGAAGAAAGATGACTCGTTCCATTCCAACTCAATTTTGTCGACTGATTTAATGAAAAAAAAAAAGGTAACCATATAGGATAAGATAAGGGAAGAGGAATTTTCAGTACGGTAGTACCTTATTCGAACTTTAGGTACACCAATCAACTGGCCTCTAATCTAAAGTCTAAAGCCTTGTGCTTGTCCATTTGATTTCAGAGCCCCTTGATTCCAAAATCAGTAAAGAATCCAAAGATTGCTTTTATATACTAAGAGAAGATTTCAATGAAACCACAATTATTAATTAGTTTCAAAGGAGAAAATTTAGGCCCAACACATTGCGTGGCCCCCTAAACAAAATGCAAATGAATATTTCTTCTGGTTTTGGTCTTTACTTTTTATTGATTATCTGGGAAGATAATGAAACCAATTACAGATAAACATTAAGATTAACAAAAATTCAAAGCTGGGTTTAATGAAAGAAAACAAAACCCAAAAACTGTTTAAAATGCTAATTGTTTCGAGGCAGGAAATGGAAAGGAAGAGAGGAAAAGAAGAAAGTCCAATTCTTTCCTGTCTTTTAATCTTCCACCTGAAATTCGTTTCCTTTCTCTTTCACTCTCTCCGATTAGCCATTAATGTAAACAGAAAACGTTTAAGTCAAGCTCATGTAATCCAAACCAGATTGCATTGAATTGGGGTTCCCTTGTTGTGGTCAAATCAATCAAATGTGAAAAGCTCTGGACCCGGAAATCCATACCCATGGGAGGTGAAGCACATTCGTTTCTCAATCTCAGATCACTTTGAATTTTTTTGAAAAAAATTTGTTAATAGAGTTAGTATTTAGTTGCTCGCATTGAAACGCATGTTTGCTTTTGTGTGTTGTTGGAATGTTTTTGTTCTTTTTCTTGAGTTTTTTTTTTTTTAGAATGAGCAATGAAAGTTGCATGAGTAGAACATCTTTTTCTGCAATCGTTGAGAAATCATTCGAAGTGGGTTTTTTTTTTTTTTTGATGGGAGGTTCCTGGATTCAGCATTTCCTAATTTCCATTTCTTTTACTGACTGCATTCAGGCCTGCCCCCTGTTTCTTTCTTCCTTGGTTCAAAATGTTGGGTGCATTTGAGTTTGCAGATTTCGTTGTGGGTTTTTTCTTTTTTTTATAAAACCCAAAGTTGTTCTTCAAGTCTTGTGAAAAGCTCATATTCCTAGTGGGTATGTGAAGCTTGTTTGTATATTAGTGTCTCTTGTAAATTATTCTATTGCAGTTGTGTATAATCTGTATTGGAGACATTCCTGCCAAATTTTTAATTGAAATCTTGAAATTATTTAGCGCACTATTTTGTTTCATCAGAGTAATAATTTGTCAATTTCTTGATGTGTTTCATTGGGGGACTTCAAAATTATTTCTAACAGACAAGATTAGGACCCTTAGTTTCTGATAACAACTCTCAATACCTGTTGTTATTCTTTATGGCGTTGTATCTAAAGTTTTGGTTTCTACTTTTCTGTCATTGATTTTAGATTCAGGTGAACTGCATTCTGAAGAAAATAATGTTCCTCTAGATAGTAGTAAAAAAAGAACCCTCAAGACACCAGCCCAGCGTTATGCTCTGGAGCAATGCTATGAGGGTTTGTCATCAATCTTAACTGACAATGCTTCTCTTGTCTTATATAAATGCACTCCTAAAGCTATGTCATCAATCTTTTGATAAAAAAAACCTCATGTTTCGGTTTTCCAGAGCACAAGTTTCCCACAGATGAAATGAAAGCACGGTTAGCGGTGAAGGTAGGGTTGACTGAGAAACAGATATCTAGTTGGTTTTGCCACAGAAGGTTAAAAGACAAAAGGAGAGATGAAGGCCACATTAATGGGCGACAAGATCATTCAAGTGGTGTTCTTCAAGATCGTGCTAGTGGGTTTAGGCAAGATTCATGCGGCAGCATTAAGCAGGGGGATCATAGAAACATAGATCCCAGGGAGGTTGAAAGTCGAGGGATTTATGGACGTGATCTTCCAGCTGCAGACTTCACATATGCAAATAGAGGTTGTCAAGATCCTCATGTTGTTGACATGGATGATGCATCTTCTGGAAGTAGCCCATCTTTACAGGATCAGGTTGTTTCTCATGGCAGTGATCCTCCCTATGAGATGCAAACTTCTCCACACCTGACACAGTCTGGAGCCATAATGTCAAGAAACCCTGTGGGTGCTAGAAACATCAGCTATAAGCCATCAGGATATCTGAAAGTCAAGGGTGAAATTGAAAATCCTGCCATTACTGCTGTTAAGAGGCAGCTGGGAAGGCATTATCGAGAAGAGGGTCCACTCCTTGGTATTTTATTTGAGCCACTTCCTCCTTGGGCATTTGAGTCTCCAAGTATCAATCCAGTCAATGGTAAGTCAATGTTGCTGAACTTTCATGTGATTTGGACTCTGCATTTCTTGTTTCATTGAATTGTTATCATTTTGTGCTTTTCATTTAGTAATAGATAGAAATTTGACTGGATTTTTTATTTTTTGCTTTTCATTTTAGTTTCTTGGACTCCTCTTTGGATTATGAAATCATCTATGTTGATTTCTCACACACATATTTCATCATAGTTAAAGGAAGACTGAGTATCATAGGAACATGCATGCATCTTTCTCTCTGTATTCTCATCATCTATGTTTCTATTTGTGTGTATGTGCATTGTTTTATTGTAGAGTTTTTTAGTTCATTCTTCCATTCTCAACTCCCTCCTTATGCACTGCCTCAGTTCTTTTAACAGGGTGATTGTGTTCCCTAGCTTCTGATTGTAATGCTTAATTTTGATTGCATATCTTAAAACAAATATCCACCTTATTTGTATTCTCTCATCATGTATCTATTATTGGATGCTTTGGCAGAGCAAAATTACATTGGAGACCCCAGCCAGTGTCATTCTCTTGGTACATCTGGGGTTCTGAAGCAGCCAAATGTTAATACTGTAAGTGGACTCTATGCTATGTCATTGCATAATATATTGTACTGAAATACAATCATCATTTGGAGTGGTTCGAATATGAAAACGTGTTTGTGACCCAGACATCACAGTTCTCATTAACCAGTGAATCATCCCAATTGTGTAATAATAAGTTTTCTGTTCAATGCCCTTGTAGAGATATGAAGCACATAATTCCAGGATGGGTTCTCCAGATTCATATGAGGAGGGTGCAAACTATTACCCTCAATACCCTGTGCATTCTGACGGACTGGAGAGGAGTTCCCATTGGCAATTAAAATGGAAGTCATCTTCACTCAATAGTTCCAACTCTCTTCTTGGCCGGAAATCTTATTTAGATGTGTCTAAAGATCCTGCTGTAAAAACATCTGTCAGTTATAACAACGTTCCGAGGATGAGCTCTGAGCATCATATTGAAGGAATGAGATCAGATTCTTTTACTTACCATACTGGCTATCGTGATGGGAAAATTTCCAATAAAAAATCAAAGCCGTGGTTGCATGACAATAATAATGCAGCTTCTATGAATGCCCAGAAAAATGAAAACTTGTCTAGACCTTCAAATTTGATACCTGAGTTCAGTCAGTCCCTTGATACTGAGGAGAGGGGGCAATCTGTAAGGATAGCAAAGGTTTCTACTTATGTTCTTTGTTATTTAGCAACTATAATGTTGGCTTGATGTTCATTTGTTACATTTGAAATGTGCAGGTAGAGAAACATATTATAGAGAGGAAGCACAAAATAGTGTATCATGATCCAATTAGCAACAAAATCCATCGAAGAAATGAAATGAGAGTAAGTTCAAGCTGAGGTCAACTCTTAGCCTTGTATGCATTAAGACATAATTCTCTTTGGCTGAGTTACCTCTTTGTTTTTTTAAAGGTTGCTAACCGATCCAAAAGTGAATACCCTCAACAAGATTTTCTGGAAAATGCATCTTCTGTGAATTTGCTGTTATTGGCTGATCAGATAAAAGGGTGAGTATAATCTTATTCAACTTATTTAGCTTTCATGCATATTCTTTTTGTCAATTCTCGTTAACCTTCCAACTGAATTTTGTCATTTAGGTCATCCCTGGATGTCCCATCTAGCTTCAATGAGGATGAAACTGCAGAAACTACTTCCTCCTCGGATTGAAGGACAGATGACCGGTCAATTATAGGAGGGCTTAACGGGTTCTCAAGATTACTCCATGGAGACCCATAAACTGATATGATTGCTTTTGTACAGGTAGAAGAAGGGTGTTTGTTCAACCTACTAACATGGAACTACTGCTAGCAACATGGTGATTATGTTGGATAGTATGTTAATCATACCCGGGTCTTGAGCTTTTGATATGTACAAATTCTTTTTGATGTTAGTAATGCTATGTGGAGAAAAGCTGTGATTGTAATGACCTTGGATCTACCTAGGAGATTTTGAAAATACAGCGTTCCACATATTGTTACTGGCAATTAACAAATCATCGATGTGTAATGCATTGTTCATGTTGTTTGGAGACATTGGTTTGGTTTTGATTTGATTTGATTTCAGATCAAAAGGAGAAGAATGGAGCCAGACCTTGGCCTATGAGGACCCGGTATACATCCTGAACTTCTTTATTGAGAGATGAATGCTCGCATACTTATTATGAATATAAATCCAAGTTGGAATGTTCAAATACCTTGCTGAATGTTAGAATACCTAGCTAAATGTAACTTTATCACCTCCCTGAAGCAACTTGACTTGCTTTGTTTCAAGTGCATATAAACCTGTCATAGCAAATGCCTTTTTAAACCCAAGTTCAATATTTGATAATTTTTATGTACAAAAAGCAATAACCCTTTTTTCCTTCAAGTGGCAGATTTAGCTCATTGCCTAACCATAAAGTGGAAAAAGTAGAAATTGTGTCCTAATATGACTTTATGACAGCATGGGTTGTCTCTTCACCAGTGCCAATGTGCCACAAGCTCGAAAGAACGATCTTTTTCTTTATTCTCAGAAAAGCTGTTTTGTCATGATCAGTGGCATCTAATTTGTAATTCTAGATATAAATGAGCAAATTGGGAATGAGCATAAAGCATTCAAGAACCATCATCGAATATTTCTTCTTGTTATTGCAGATTAATTAAGTTTGGATGGAAATCAGAAATGAATGAATGAATGAATTATGAAACTGAGGGGGATGAAAGTGCATACTTGTGATTCAATGGATTAGGCAACTTGGTTTGTATGTGTGATGTGTTGGTGTTGAAAAGCATTTGGGGACCAAGAACAAACTTTGTGTGGCTCTCATGCTTCCCCATCCATGGTCTTGGTCTTAATCAATAGGTTTAGTACATGGCTTAATTTAACAAATTATCTATTAACTATTACATTATTTTCATTTTAGTCTAGTATTTTTATTTTCTTCCAAACTCATCTATTAAATTCTAAAATTGTTTTATTTTCGTCTATTTCACACAACTCAGTTAATTTTGTTAGTGGAATTCCACCTGTGCTGCCACATGCTACCATGTAAGCAGTCAGGTGGCAAAAAAAATTTAAAAAGAAACAATGAGAAGAGAAATTTTTTTTGCCACCATTTTCCTTTAATTAAAACAAAATCTATTACTAGAAAACAATAAGGGTTTTTTTAATTTGTATCTTTAGGGTACAAGTTAAGAATATTTTTTTAGTATAAATATATATAAAAAAATGTAGAAGTTGATATTAATTTAGGTATCAATGCTAAGTGGTTGAATTTAATTGAAAAGTTAATAAATTAAATATTGACTTTTATTTTTTATTATAATTTATGACAAAAAAGTGTATTAAAAGTCATAGATTAGACAAACTCATAAAAATCAATCTTTAATTTATCAATTATTTAATTAAATTCAACCATTTAGCACCAACATTAAAATTTATATCAACTTTTACATTATTTATATAAATTTATAATAAAAATATTTTAATTTGTGCCTTTAAAGCACATGTTAAAAAAATTCTTATTTTTTTTTCTAGTACATGTTTTGTTTTAATTAAAGGAAAATGGTGGCAAAAACAATTTAAAGAGAAACAATTATGCAAGAAGTTTTTCCTATTACGTGAGTGTTTATAAGTGACTGTTTACAAGACAGTATATGATAGTACAGATAAAATTTTGTTAATAGAATTAACAAAATTATATGGGATAGATGAAAATGAAACAATTTTTAAAGTTAATAGACAAATTTAAGAAAAAATAAAGATATTAGGTTAAAATAAAAAATAAAAAATAATTAATAGATAATTTGTTACATTGAGCCTTTAGTATACCCCTTCATTCTCAATGTGCCAATCCCCTAGCGCCACTGTGCACTGACGTGAACTTCGACCCATCTTTGCACATGCCTCTTTCCATGTCTTTCTCTCTCTCTCCTTTTTTGTTTTTTTTTTTCTTTTTTTGCTTGCTTGCTTTATTCATTTATTTATTTATTTTTGCCCATGAGGAAATCATGTTGAGGATCGTCAAGAAGCAAGGTATCCCATTATTCAAACGTTTTTAATATATATAATATATATTTTACAACTAACAATAGACTAAATATGCATTATGTTGCTAATTATTTAAAAATTTTAATAGTTTTTTTTGTTGAAAATAAAAGATTTTGAATTTAAATTACATACTATACGAATGAAGTAAGATAATAAATGAGAAATAATTACTTCTCATTATACAACTAAGATAAAAAAATATATATATTATGCTGTTTGTTTACAGTTTTAAGGGTGTTCTTTTTTTTTTTTTAATGGAATATAGGTTGGTGGTTTTGAAATTTGAGTGTGAAATTAAGAAATATATATATTATGTAGTTTAGATTATTTTTATTATATACCACTAATTATTAAATAAAAATAAATTTTTTAATATTAAAAGTTTTTTTATCTAATAATTTTTACTTTATAGTATAATATAGTTCAAAAAAATATATAATTCTTAATTTTTTATACAAAAATTTATTTTAACAAAGCATGATAATATTAATTTATATTCACATAAGTGTTATATCAATTTTTATAATTTATTATAAATACTAACTCTTTATAAAATAATTAATCAAACTATTAATAAAAAAACACGTCTTTACTAATATGACCGACGTTGGAACTCTCCTTTTTAATCCCCGCTTTTCTTTTTCATGAAAGTTTTAACTGCTTATCATATTTCATTAAAAAAATTTATCTTAAAATTTTAAAAGTTAATAAAATTTTTTTATCAATAATTTAAATAATTTAATAATATTTTTTTATTAAAAATAAAAAAATTTTAAATTCAAATTGTATGACATGTGAATAAAATGAGATAAAAAATAAAACAGAATTACTTCTTATTATGTAACTAATTTAAAAAAAATTAATAAAATTTTTTAATTAAAATATCTTTTTTTAATGTTTTTAAATTTAAATTTCTTATATTTATACGATCCCTGCTCCTTTCTCTTTTTTTTTTTTAATTAATTTTAAGCGACGTAATCACCATTTAAATATTTATGAAGGATGCCGATTCCGTCGAATCAAAATTCAGACTCAGAAGTGGTGATGGAGACTCGGAGTTCGACTTTTTAATTTTTTTAACTTTACCGTTGCCTCTTTTTATTTTTTTAATCATTTCTGCACCTCTTTCTACAGCCTTCTCACGTCCCAAACAGGTAAAAGTAAACTAATTAAAGTTTATTTGATTTGATATTCATTCATTTAAAATTTTTGATTTAAAAATTAAAATGAAAGTTTAAATTTATAAAACCACAAGTAATTATCCCTTTTTGAATTGAGTTTTTGGATTTAATTATTTAATTTTAAATTTTAATGTTTAAATTTTATTAATTAAAAATTTAATTCTTACTAACCATCTGAATAAATATCTTCTATTTTTTAAAATTTCTTATGTTAAAAAAAAAATTATCCATCTTTTCGGAGAAGT